ATTGTTCTGTAGTTGTCTGATTGCCTTTTCAACCTCCTCTAATCTAGGAACCTCGCTCAGTTCTTGTTGTATTGGTTTCTGTGGAATTCCGTTGAAGATATCATCTGTAATGTGTGATTCTCTGAGTAGTTCCTGAAAGTGTTCCTTTCAACGAGAATTATTAAAGGAACTGTCTTTAAGCGGTTTTGTGCCATCTTTGGATCGTACGGTATTGAGTCCTTTACCTTGGAGCGGTTGGTCCGATGAAAGTATAAAAGGAAACGCACTATAATACACCTGGCATGTATCACAAAATACAGCAACGCTAAAGAACCAGAGGCCACTATAGTGGCTCTGCGCGGACAAGAAACATTAGGAATGGGCCAAAGTACCTAATAACTGCACCATTCACGATCCTCTTCAAAATTTTAGTGAATAAAAGAGTAGGAATATATGGCCAGATTAGTGGCCGCGGTTCACAACAGGAAACCGTGATGACCACTATAGTGGCCGGCGGTAGTGAACGTGTTAAGATACTTAGCGTATGAATCGAGTCAAAGATTCGTGGAAAAGATGAAGGAAGGACCACACAAAAGGGAGACGAGTATCTGTAGTGACGTCACAAGGGTAACGGCGCTTAACAATAATAGGCAATCCTCTTTGTGTCAATGGTTTGACGGCTGTCTTTGTCATTGGCTGTCTTCCTCTTTCTCTTTACGTTATATTTTTCTTCTCTCTGGTGTAACGAAATTTGTCAAAACGTGACGCGTCTTTCATATCACTTTCATAACAGACCGCCCGCCGCCTTAGAGATGTCATACAAATTTGTGAAGAAATACTTCCGGTTTATTTTCGTTATTAAAACTTGATGGTTGATTTGTTTGAGAGATTTATTTTCGATAAAAGTCGATGGCTACCCATGATTTATTTTGAAGTAAATTTTCTTTAGGCGGCGGTATATTTTGTCGAAAATGGAGAGTGATTTGAAGGACGCGTCACTTAACGTAACGTTTTGGGAAATTTCGTTACACGAGAAAGAAGAAAGATATAACGTAGAGAGACGGAAAAAAACCAGCTAATGACAATGAAGGCCGACGAATTGACAATCGTTCGTCGGCCTTCAACTGACCCAAACCAAGGATTTAAAAACAAGGAGGATTGCCTATTATTGTCAAGCGCCGACGCCATTGTGACGTCACTGCAGATACGCGTCTCCTTTTTGTGTTGTCTTTCGTCTTTACCCCGACTCATACGCTAAGTCTAAAAGTTGTACGAGGGGAGGGGGGTGGTTTTTAATATTCTACCACGTGTGTACCTGTGCCTACATGATATTTTTTTTTGCATCAGCATCGTCGGCGGCAACATTTTTTTAATCGGCCGCCCCTTTCAATCGGCCGCCTGTGTGTTTTGAACACACCGTACACATGGTAGCGGCGGCCCTGTCCACACAGGCTTTATGAGGATAGGCTGTCCTGTAGTAGTAATGTGTATCATCCTTGGGTTGCCTGGATAACTCGATGACGTCATCTGGGGTGCCTCAACATAATGCAAATCTCCATAAGACACCTCAGATCAAGTTACCCATTACCAGACAACCTATTTACTTTAGGAACCTTGACCCCCGCTAAAGAAAGATAATTAATTTTATTTGTTTTTATTGTTACGTTTGCCCCCCCCCCCAGATGAAAATCGTAAATACGCCACTGCAAGACCGCATTTATTTTCCGTGACCAAGACCAAGACTGACCTGTCTTGGTCTAGATCTTGGTCTTGTGCAGCCCTTCATGTAATTCAATGATCAAATGAACTGACCTGAAGTTCGATCTGCATTATATTGGTCAGCCAGTCCAAAGATGTTATTCTCCCACCCACCCGACCGTATCCTATCGTTATTAAATGGGAGACAGCAAAATATTTAAACAATATGACGATACCTGCGCGTGAGCCGGAGATCGCCAAGCGGCGATTAGGGGAACGCGGAGTAACAGCACTTTTTAAAATCTTGTGGTAGTAGTACGAAAAGTCGGAATACATGGTAAAATAATTAATATCTTTGGACTGATTGACTAATATGATTAAGATCGGTAAAGTCATGGGATCGTTAAAATATTGTCGAGTGGGATTTGAGTTTTATTTTGCATTGAAGGGGAACTAAATATTAAATCCTAGATATCTGAACTCGAAACCCAGAGCCTAATGGCGTAATAAATTGACGCCCTGTATCTTATCTTACCAACAATCAAAACACACTCATTTATTTACTTTTCTATCCGCTCATGAGCGTGGCTAGGTCAAGGCCAACGAAAAAAGTTTGATAAATTAAAATTCCGACGAACTTTACCTTACCGTTTGTATCATAACTGGGTCACACCATGCCTGTGAAAATAATCGTATAAATCGAAGTAATAAAGTGCGCAAAACATTACCTCACCTCTAACCTATAACGATACATTTGTCAACGGAGGGCATTTTAGCCGATCCTAAACTAACCCATTAGGATTAGTGTTGTAAATGATGGAACGTTCCCGTTTATTCTCGAAGAACGTTCGCGAACGTTCAAGAATTGAATGGGAACGTTCCTTCTCAAAACACGAACGAGGATGTTCTTAAAAACTAGCATAATAAATAACATTTATTTTCCAACACTGGGGTCTGGGGATCGAGAAAAGTTCCCGACAGTCGACAGCCGACCAACAGGGTTTGGTTTCAGGGATTCACACGCCATTTTTTGCCGTCCCATTTGCCGGTTTTTTATTTAGTATTTATTTTAAAGCGTGTAAATAGGTCTGTTCGCCCAAAAATCACAAACCAGTCAGAGCGAATTTCATTGGTTGAAAACAGTCAGAAACAATCACAAAACAAGTTTCAACCAATGAAATTCACTCTGCCTGCTGCCTAGTTTGCAATTTCTGTGCGAACAAACCTTTTAGTGTAGTGTTTACTTTTCATTGCAAATGTCTAGAAAAAAGTGTAATATTTTCAAGTTTTTTGTGTTAAAATCGATGGCTTCCACAAGTTCGTCATCTCCTATAGAAACACTTTATTTATTGATCTATCTAAAGCCGCGTCCAGATTAGTAAATAAATGCGTTGCGTTGAATTCGGGATTTGCCACATATTTTTGCAGCGCAAATTTGGTATCTTGACCGGCATAAATATTTGTGTAGTGCGCCGTGCGTTCTTGCTCAACGCGTGTGTGCCTATTTTATTTCAGAGTGTGCATTGCTTGTTTTTGGTTATTTGTTTCGTTCGCGAAAAAATGCGTCCACACTAGAACGATGTTGCGCCGCAAATCCCTTTGATATCTTGAAAAAACCGACAAGCCGCGGATCTCGTGCGGTGAATGCCGCGAAAATGTTTGCGTGCTTCCGTATACGGCGAACAGGTCCACACTCGCATAAATTTGTATTGCACTGCACACACAAATTTGTGCCGAATGACACGCACGACGTAAATTTTTACTAATGTGGACGCGGCTAAATATAAGCAGATATTTTTTCATTTTTTATTATTTCCCATTACTTTTTTTCTTTCATGCACATTATTATCGTTCATTCTCGTTCGTGCTCGGAGAACGTTCTCCAAAAATAAATTCTCGAGCATTTAACAACACTAATTAGGATCGGTGCAACATTTTGGTCCTCAGACTCTTGTCTTGTCATGCAGGCACGTTTCAATCCCTGGGGCGCTCAACATCGATGATAATATTTGGAATTTGGTGGAACGACATCTTTCAGAAAGCGATCTACAATTGTTGGTCCCGTGTATCAGTGATGTGATGCACGAAAAAGATCCCTACCATCGACAAGATGGGTTCGGAAAAATTTCCAGATGAGGTGTGACAAATTCCCGGCCGACAACAAATAAATGAATGGATCAAAAAAAAAAAAAAACAGAATTTTATATTGAAGGGGGAAACTTTTTGACTCCATCGGTATTTCGCTAGGGTGCACCCGGTGGGTGAGGTGACTTTCACCCCTCTTTTTTAGATAGGGAAGATGGATCGAGTGGTATCTTGTTTTAAAGGTATTTTGATTGTCGTCACAACTGTGTACTTTTTTTGAAAATCGAATGATTGGTTCTCAAGATATTCACTATCAAATTTGCCATGGGCTAAATAGGAAACAATCTTCTGGCCCTGTTATTCTCAAATTAACACTTTCCTGACTTTCCTCTCGGACACATCAATTTTCTTTTTTTGTGTGCTTCCGAAAATATTAAAATTAACGTGTCTGAAAGGAAAGTGTTAATTTGAGAATAACAGGGCCAGAAGATTGTTTCTTATTTAGCGTATGGCAACTTTGACTGTAAATATCTTGAGAACTGATAAGTCGATTTTCAAAAAAAATTAAACAGTTGTGACGAGAATCAAAATACCTTTAAAGCAAGGTACCACTCGACCCATCTTCCGTATCTAAAAAAGAGGGGTGAAGGTCACCCCACCCGGGGGGTGCACCCTAGCGAAATAACGATGCGGTCAAAAAGTTTTCCCCTTAAATACAAATTTTACGTGTCCGAGCGTTTTAAATCGACCTTAAAATACCTCAAAACGCCTCTGTCTGGACGTTCGTGAAACACCCTGTATATTTTTTGAAACTTATGAAATTGTAGTAAAATAATCAAAAAAAAAAAAAAAAATTCAAAATTAAAAGAATAGCTGCAATAGATTATCAAGAAAATAGATAGATTAGAAATAAGGATGTTCCAATATTACAGAGACAGACTTGAACAAGTGATCCCTTAACTCTAATTTATGAGCATTTTTAATAGAAAAAGTTACTTGATTCACTCGTTAAAATTCGTTGCTGTGGTAGAGGTACCTATTTAATATTGAAAAACATTGCCTCCAGTAAAAATCTACCAAATAAATGCAAGACTTGCAAGAGTCTTTGGTGCAAGACTTTATATAAACAAAACTATACGCATTACTGATTGAAGTATTTATTAGCGGGGTCTTTTGAATCAATATGCTCATTCAACGAACGAACTGGAGTATTTGCTGTAAGCATACTTTTAAAAGCACTATACACTATAACTCTTTCGAATTCGCAGTGGCTTTCTTGGCACCGCTGCATGGGGAACTCTATCAAAAAGGGCCTGTAGCATAGGAGTTTGTGAGTTAACAGCCTGTGTGTCATTTGATCGGGAAGAGCTAGGTTGTGGATTATTATTTTCGAGGATCGCAGGCAGTTGAATTGGTACTGAAGAGCTTGCGACTGGTTTACTATCGGTGACCACGGGTTCGATTTTTGAAGATTTCTTTCCGACATTCACAGGTGGTAAACTATCCCAATCCCATGCTCCCGATTTATCATTAGTTTCAGGTGATTTATCAAAATTATAAGCAATATTAAATGGTCCATAATTGATAGGGAGAACTGGTTCAGTGATTGGGTCGCTACTGGTATTTACCGATGATATAATTTCAGGTGCCGTCGGAGAGCCTGATGAAGGATATGCATTTATATTATTGTCGTCGTCAGACAGAAGAATAATACTCCTCGACTTTGGAGTCGATGTGGCACTTGGCTTAAACGTTAAAAATGCGCGACTAGTTTCAGTTGATTTATCATGAGGTGCTGGTGACTTCCAAATGTATTGATTCATGTTCAATTTTCGGTCTTTAAAGTACTTTTCAACCTCTCCCAATGGCAGTGTAATGAATGCCGCCATATCTTGCTTTTTACAGATCGAAGGTAGTTTTAATGTTGGGAAAAGATTTGAAATTTGTGCAATGGATTTATGGACATCCAAGTCCCTTTTGGTCTTTTTTGCAGAAGATGTGGATGGTAATACTTTTTTAATCCTTGCATCAGTGTTGCATTTCCTCTGAAAAAGAAATAAATATGTATAGGTATACATCTGCTTATGATTATGGAAATTTAATTGTATTGAATTGTGCATGGCATCATTGGGACAAAAGTTTGCATTAAGTTAATGCGACTTACCCTCAGAAATTTGTCCTGACGGTTAGCATCCTTTCGGTACTTGACCATTGCCGTTGTTATTTTGAGACAACGATTGCAAATTTTAACCGATATTTCGTCGTTTTCCAGCACCTGGAACAATAGAAGAAGTTTCAATTACAGACATACTTCACTGATAAACACTGGGTACAACATTCGGGACACAACACAATTCTACTGATTTCGCGTTTTATAAGTAATGCCGCGTACAACGGCCTATAGTAGTAGGCCTTCAAAACTCACAAGTCATAACTATTAATTTTTAATTTATAACTTCTGGTCCATGGTACCAAACAATTTTTCACGTGAAGTGGCTTAGACGTTCGTCAAGTGTGTATCATTTTTCAAAACTTATTAAGTTACCTTAATACTAGGATGCAGTTTATATTTGTAATCCCAATTTTTATATGTCACAGACTGCAATGTAAATTGAAGTCGGGAAGATAGATTTTATTCCAAAAGATATTTATTCTCGTATCTTGAATGTAGAAATGACACTTCTCTCAATTTTATATAGAGAGTAATAGATCATACATGACTAACAGTTCGATAGACTTTAAATTGATATTTTAGTTTGGTACGGAAATTTTGTATTAAAAGTCAAATTTAGTTATGTAGTAGATCCCTGCTTTCCCAAAAGTAAACGGACGTGTTCAATTTAATTGCTTTATGAGACCGCTCGAGATAGGAGCCTCGACAGTGGGATAATTCCCAAAAATGCCGAACAACAGAGATAGCATCAATGTTCAAGATTCGTTTTTGAAACGTTTATAGTGTGAATGCTGGTATTCTGGGCAGAATTAGGACAACGACGACAGTCTTTGATAATTTCGATGCAACAGAATTTGAGAATTGTTCGTGGAATATTTACCACTCCCAAATGCTGCCACTACAAATAAATCAACAAAATATGGATAGTGACGTTGGACTTGACCAACAAGAATTGAGGAACAATACAAATAAGGCACCTCCAACCTCACAATCGACACCAAATATTACCCAAAATATTGATTTAAATGGACTGATTATGTTCATGAATAATTTGATGCAGCAGAATGCCACAATTATGCAAATGTTAGTTAAAACCAGTGCAACAAACTTATATTCTACCTCCAGTACAAATTTAATATACAGGGTGTCGAGAAAATAGTGTAAAAGCTTTCCACTACGTGGTGGAGGACTCTTCAGGGAGCCCCAGAAAAATAATTTGAAAAAGCTGGTGGCATTCTTAAAAAAGTTATTAGGATTTTAATGTTTATTAAAATTGGCAACACTGAACATATCTCGTTGACAATTTGTTACAAAAATAAATTAAAAACCTATGTAATTACCTGAAAAATTCGAAGGCAACTAAAAAAAGTTGTCAGATCAATTTTTCCTGTTTTAATTTAGAGATTTTGGCGATTTTGCAAATTTCATAATGCGTTTTAAAGGTTTACAACAAATTTTAATAAACCAATATATTACATAATGGTATCGACAAAAGATACCTAACACTTTGTAGGATATATTGCAATTTGAAAGAAAAATCGAAAATAAGGAAGTTGAATTCCCACATTTACCTCTTCATATTTCCAAGAATTGTCGAGAAGGATTTTTTTAAATTATTTTTCCTGGGTTACTCAAAGGATTCCCTACTACGTAGTGGAAAGCTTTTACGCTATTTTTTGGACACCCTGTATACAGTTATGCCTGATTTTCCTAAGACAATACCTATTTTTAATGGCACAAAGAAAACATTGGATTAGAGGTAATGGAGGGATTGAAAGCTCAGCAATGCTGCACAATTAGCCACCAGAATTTAAAATCCAGAAAGCAAAAACACATTTAGTTGGTGCCGCTGTCAGCTGATATGAAGCTAGAAGAGAAAGTTTATTAACGTGAGACAAGTTTAGAGATGAATTTAGTAATACATTTGTTCACCAGAAAATTTGTATATATTTATGGAAAGACATGAATTCAAGAATACAAGGACCTAGAGAAGATTTGAGTAAATACTCTCATGATAAGGTTGACAATAAGCTGCCCTCAAACATTAGAGGTGAGTTCGGAATGAGATTTTAGGGCATGGCTAGTGCGGTGTTCGTATAGTGCAGTGTTATATCACGTGATGAAGGTGTAATCGGCGGTGTAACACCGAATTCACCATCATTTTGTATCGAATAAACGGTGTCCCACATTACCTTACATTATTTTAATAGTTATTATAATCGACCCGAAATAACGGCACATTATTATTATTATACAGGTTGTCCCAAAAAGATACCGACAAACTTTAAGGGGTAGTAGGGGACATCAAAACAAGCATTTTTGTTTATATAAACATATGTCCGCAAATGAGCCATTTGGGCTGTAGAGCAAAAAAACTGTTTGGTATCTAATTTTATTCTTCGCAATAATCAAATCACTGTTAACTTATTAATTTTGCTTTAATAGCAAATAAATTATGGTTTACAATAATTGTTCAACTCGCGAACTCTTTGGAATATTCCGGGAATAGCTTCTACATGGGTACAACTCGCCAGTATCCTTGCTATCAGATCTTCCTCATTACGAACAGGTGTTTCGTAGACTAAACTTTTCAGTCAATAGAAAGTTCTCGTGTATCAGACGCTACGCTAATACGGTAACGCTAACAATACGGCATTTCACATGGTATTTTATAGTTCTCGGACACGAAGACACATAAATCCTCTAATCCGTTATTTTGTTTACATTTTGACAGCTGAGTTGAATGATCTAACCCAACTTTTTTTGCTTGTTTTGAAACTTTTATTTATTCTGAAGATTCCTGAGCTTGATTAATTTTCCCTTGGTGTTTTTTATGGAGGAATTATTAGAAGTTGCTGTTTTTGCAGACATAAATGAAGCGTAAACTTGTTTTTACATAGCATAGCGTTACGGTAAAGCATCCGGTAAGTTCCGTTAGATAGCGGGCTCCGCTAACGCTAATACCGTAAGAACTGTCATACTTGTCAAATAGCGTTACGGTATTTGAAATTTAGACGGCACGAGAACTCTCTAATGTCTCGACCGACGGTGTAATCTTTGCATTAAAGTAAATGGTCAACACTTTGAACAATTATTCTAAATCATAATTTATTTGATAATAAAGCAAAATTAATAAGTAAACGGTGATTTAATTATTGCGAAGAATAAAAGTATCAAACAGTTTTTTTGCTCTACAGCCCAAATGGCTCATTTGCGGACTTATGTTTATATAAACAAAAATGCTTGTTTTGATGTCCCCTACTACCCCTTAAAGATTGTCGGTATCTTTTTGGGACACCCTGTATAATATAGTTTATAATCAGTATATAAAAGTTTACATTTTTCAACTGGAAATTTCGTTAGCATCATAGTGGAATTCATACACACACGTTTTTGAAATCTCCAGTATAGTCATACGAATATACAGCGGTTTATCGAAAATAATACGGAACTTTTTTAGTTCAATGGCCATAAGAGTATCGCTAAAAATAGACCTGTTTTTGGAATTTGGATTCGGAATAAAATTCTTTGCTCCATATCTTCCCTCCAATTCATTTACAAGTTTTACTGTTTGTTTTTTTTAAACGTTTAACATTGTTTTTCCAAAGACTGTATTAATCGTTAGTTTAAATGACATTTTTTCAAATTCTGTCACTGCTCGCGCCCTTAATGATGTGTTCAAGTCGATATAAGGTTTGAACCATTGATTTCTAAGACTTTGAGAATACGCCTCACTTTCAAACCATGTTGAAAGGCTTGTTTTTTTTTTAAGTAAATTATGAAATTTTGTTTGTAATAGCAGGTTGTCATTAAAGGAGGTGTGACCCAAAAATAAAAGTTTTAGTGCAAAAAAATCTAAGAATAGATATTTAAACCGCATCTTGCTACGATGGTCCGTTTTCGAGTTAGGGTTAAACAAATAGGTCTTTGTGACGTCAATCAAAATTATGAGGCACAGTATCAACACGTGTAAAATTTTCCAAAACAAAGGACAATTATCTCACTAAAGCGAATTGCAACCACTCCAAGTATAAGGTATGGTTCACTGACGACTGAACGAACAGACGACTGCGATTTCGGCGGTTGTGACATCACAAGCTCCTGCATAATTTATCTTCACAGGGAATTTTCTCGGAGACTATTTTGAATATAGGACTGCGGTTTTCACGAGAGATCTTGGATTATTTTTCTTGATTCAAGTAGCTTAAGTCGTTTATTGGGGTCACACCCCCTTTAATTTTGGAAATCTAGAATTTGGTGGCTTTCGATGTTCTGAACAGAGAAGTGAGTCTTTATGTAAATCATGTAACGCTGCAGGGTACTCAAAATCAACCTCTAAGATATAGCCGATATCGGCATCGTCAGGTACAGTAGTGACACCTATGTTGAAATCGACCCACTTGAAGAATCCATACGGTTATTACTGACCCATTGCCGATCCATATGTTATTAATGATATTAATGATATACGTAGATAGTTTATTGGGGTCATATTCATTCCTATATTTATTGTTAGCCTCTGATAACCGATTACAACACCTCCTCTCACACCACTCTCAATAAACAATAAAAGATCTACATATTGAATGATTTCTAGCTTACACCTGGTATACTTTAGCATACAATCCCAAGTATAACCAGGAAGAGTGTAGTGTAATATTATGTGCAGGATCTAAATCGTATGTCTTGTGACACGTGTCACGAAAAGTTTCAAAAACACAAGTTAATGGCATGATATCAGTTTTCATAAACAAGTCGCCAATTCACCCAAAGTTGTAATCTTACATTTATCTAAACACGTTTTGCATGTTCATAATCAGCGACATATATGTCTTTATCATTAGGTTTATTGTGAAAGTGGTCTTTATTTGGTAGTTTAGTTTCATCTAGCCTTTCCAAATTGTCTATATGATCATAAAGGAATACCCCCTTTCGTGTTAGCAATTTAAATATTTCCTCATCTAAATTGAGAAATTCGTTTCCAAGATTTTCGGAATTGTCTACAGTTGTTGTTAGGTTAGAAGCCAATGGGGAACCTATCAAACGTGAGGAATCTATAAATTGGAATTTAAAATTGGTTTCATCATCGGCAACTGTGAAAC